CGTGCACATGTGTGTCACATTGTGTGTGTGTGTTGTCGTATTCGCTATACACAACCCCACAAAAAACAAAGGAAAAAAAAAGAGAAAAGAAGCATGGTTGTGCCAGACTGAAGGCCGTGTGTGTGTGTGTGTGTGTGTGTGTGTGTGTGTGCCGGGGGGGGGCGACCCCCTCCCAATCAATCAATCAACTTTGGTTGGTTGATTGATTGATTGATTGATTGTTTCCGAATACAACCAACGAACCTACCTGCCCTATCCCCCCCCCAAAAAAAAAGACAAAACAAAAGAAACGACAAAATGGGGGGAGGGGGGGGGGGGGGTTCCGAAAAAAAAACCTGGCGAAGTGTTGAACTCTCCATTTCCGCGCGTAGCCCCCAGGGTGTGCGCCCCCGCAGTACACGCGCATTCATTCTTTTCCTGCGCGCCGCCACGTGTCGCGTTTGAATGTGATCGAAGACCAGCCATAGCTGGAGTTGGGCCCAAAGTTGAAGGGCGCGCTGATGCTGTTTTGCAGTGCTGCATGAGAGCTTCCACATGACTGCGTTGTGTGGTGTTAGGGCTCTGCCGTCATATCCATTAGGCAGCTCTTTCGTTGTTCCTCCTCACAAGGAACCATCTTCTGTGAAGTATTGGGTTGGTTGTCTGCTTCTTCATCGGGTTTCCAGCGCTGCACTTCCGTGTGGGGGCTGAGCCGGCGCTGCAAATTGTTGAGGGTGCAAGTTCAGATTGGCACGCTGTGACAGTTTGGGGGTTCTGCTTCTATGGCTGCCATAGCCAGTGTAATGAGGTGGCGAGGAGGAGAAGACTCCGTGAGACTTCGTTGAACATTTGATTTTGGTTGTTTGGGGTTGTTGATAACGTGGTTGTGATTCTCGGAATGAAGTACTCTGGATTGATTGGAGGAGGACGGGGGTAATTCAGAACTGAATTCGTTATTCAATTCTTTGTTGTGTGACGAGCTTCCACTGCATATCTTACTCCGGTTTTGTGTGGATTTGCCTCCTTCGTGTCTACTGCAATTGCCCAGCGGCCGAAGTGCCGTACTTAGGTCCCATAGGTTGGTAGAGTCTAAGAGGCCGACAGAAAATTTAGGGTCATTAGAAATCTGGTAGGCCCGGTACCCGACAAGAAAAGTCCAAGTCCCAGTCTACGTTTGGCAGCAGTATCCTGGGAAAGTCTGGTGGGTTCTGGAACTGGCAAAAATGCAGCCGGTACCGTTACCGGTCTGGAGCCGACCTCAACTCAGCTGCTATTTCAAGAGCTATTGCGCCACCGGGAATTCACTTGTCAATTCGTGTTGACGAAGGTCTGGTGAACGCTTGTGCGACCATACGCGTGGACTGGTCGAGGAGATTGAGGAAGAAGATGGCGTTTGGGCGCCATAGCTAGGGCTAGCGGAGAGGAAGACGACCACCATCGCCAAAATCGGGTAGAAGAGAGAGAGCGAGAGAGGAGAGAGCGAGTGGGTGAGTGTGTGGGGGAGAGAGAGAGAGAGAGAGAGAGAGAGAGAGAGAGAGAGAGAGAGAGAGAGAGAGAGAGAAAGAATACATACCTGAGTGAGAATGGTGAGCAGGCGTCCATAGCCACATGTATATTCTGCACTTGGAACTTGAACAATTTGTGTTTGTGAAATAATAATTTGAGTCTCTCAGCTGATATTTATCTTGTTTGTCTGCTGTTGAGTGGTTTTGTGTGAGCATCAGTGATATCCATCTCTCAGCTGAATCTGAGTTGGTTCATCCGAAGTCTGAAGCTAATGCGACGTTGTTGGACATGGACAGGTTGCAGCATTGCACACATCGTTGCCGAACATTCGTGCGCTAACCGCGTTGCTGGTGGATGCGGACGATGGGATGCTCAAAACAGACGGTGAAGGCACTGCCGACACAGTGGCGCCCAACTCTGGTAACCACATTAGCATTTCAAGAGGGTTTTCATCGCTTGAAGCACGACAACGCATTGCAGCAGGTTGGTTTATTGAGCTTCATAATTTAATTATTCCATTTGTTGGTCCCTCGCCTAATTTGTTCCCTCCCCTTTTACGTAACGATAGAGAGTTGTCAGTAGGGTTTTTTTTTTTTTTTTTTTTTTTTTTTCCCCCAGTAGTTCCGCTCTTGTGTGCCTCCTTTGTTCTTTGACCCTCACTGTGAGCTGTTGGTGGGGAACATAACCTACTGTAAACCAAGTGGAATGTCCCGTTGGTTGACGCACTGGAGCGAAACCTACTGTAAACCAAGTGGAATGTCCCGTTGGTTGACGCACTGGAGCGAAACCTACTGTAAACCAAGTGGAATGTCCCGTTGGTTGACGCACCGGAGCCAATCTTCTAATGTGCTTTTCTTTGTAAAAAATATAATGAAAACTTTTTTGGGGGGTTGATCTCTCTTCCTCCCAGCTCATGGCCAAGGGCAGGCCTCGGGTGCTCGTGCCTGCTGAGAAAGCACGTCCAAAGCAACCGAGAAAGCAGGAGCCTTGTGGTAAAAAAATGGTCAGGTAGAAAGCACAAACATATCACTGGTGGCCCTGCTCCTAAAAGGAGCTAGCTTTAACCATCTACAGATGGACTTCTCCTAAAAGGAAAAGAAACGGGAAGGGCGCAATTTCTTTTCTTTCTGGCTGGCGGCGCCATCCATTTTGGTCTACTAGCCCCGAGGTCCAGAATGTTTTGGATTTATGCAAACTCACTCATTTATTTTGCCTGGGGCGCATAGTGGTGGTTTAAGGGGTGTTAGGGTGTTCGGGGGGCGGCTACTAGGGAATGACTTTGGGGGGGTGTCTATTGGGGGATGGCTAGTGAGGTGCTTATCTGTTACGTGTAGCTGCTAGAGCAGTTTCACCTCTGATTTGACTTTTGTCGTACTAATGTGTGGCATGTTTTGGCTTCTGGCCTCCAGGCTTAGCTGTTAGGACGCTTAAGCAGCTGTGGAGGCCTGCTCTTGTTCTTTCAGCAGCTGCTGCCAGTGCCCCTGTTGCCAGTACCCCCTTGGGACAAGAACCTACAGACGGCGATTCAATAGATGTGAAGCTGGATGTTGATGGTGACACGAAAATTCGGGAGAGAAGAGACAACAGCGTTAAGCGAGCAAGAGCAGCTGCCATTCATGCAGAAGCAGAGGCAACCATCTGTGGCTTAGGTGTGATGCTACATCCTTTAAATCACCCTTCAGAACACTTTCCGTTTCCGGAAATGGCTAGTGCTGCAGCGTTGGCATGGTCAGGGAACCGTTTGGCACAGTTGTGAATCACTTCGTGCAGAATTTTGTGGCTTCAGAACAGTCCCAAACCTATTGGTTTCAGAACAGTCCCAAACCTGGTGGCTTTGGAACTGCCGCAGATGTAGTGGCCTCGGAACAGTCCCAAACCTAGCGGCTCTGGGACTGTCCCTAACCTTGTCAGTTCGGAGCTGTCCGAACCTACAGGCTTCCAGACTATCACAAGATCAGTGGCTACAGAGAACAGTTCAAGACCTATTAGCTTCAGAAGAACCCCAAACCTAGTGTCTTTGGAACTGTTTTCCAAACCTAGTGTCTTCGGAACTGTCCCAAACCTAGTGGCTTAGGAACTGTCCCAAACCTAGTGACTTAGTTCCGAACCTAGTGGCTTTGGAACTGTCCCAAACCTAGTGGCTTTGGAACTGTTCCGAACCTAGTGGCTTTGGAACTGTCCCAAACCTAGTGGCTTCGGAACTGTCCCAAACCTAGTGGCTTTGGAACTGTCCCGAACTCATTGACGTGGAGCGTTCCGTGTCCCTCGGAACTATCCTGCATACCTTGTTCGCCGGGGAATCATCACCATCGATATCCAACAGAGTGCTACCATCTTCCTCCCGATAGAAAACCCAGTCATTATTGCTGTATTTGGGGCAACTTTCAGTCTATGTACACAGCAATAATGAGCGTACTTTTCTATATGGGTGAAGACAGCAAGGATCCATGACAAGTTCATCAAAAGATTCAAAACCATGCCAAAAAATAAAAAATTAAAAAAGGCCAACTCGATAGATTCATAATTTCATATTGTGTCATTATGATTCCCTATAATGTATAATGGGTTCGAACGTATGCCATGGACTGTTCTGAAGCCACTACCGTCTTCCCCCAAATAAAACGTACGGTCATACCGCGTGTATTTGGCACAACTTTCAGTCCAGATGCAGCGAGAATGACAGTACTTTCTATTCGGGTGAAAACGGTAGGTTCGGGACAGTTCTGAAACCACCAGGTTCGGGACAGTTGTGAAGCCTCTAGGTCCGGGACAGTTCTGAAGCTACTATCCTTGCGAAAGTTCTGAGGCCAGTACTGTCTTCACCCGAATAGAATGCCCAGTCATTATCGCTGCATCTGGACTGAAAGTTGGGCCAAATGCAGCTATAATGACCGGGCGTTCTATTCGGGTGAAGACGGTAGGTTTGTGACCGTTCTAAATCCAGTTGTTAAAGCCACTTGACATGCTCCTGAAGCTCTGATGACACCTATGGGTCTGCAGTGTGTGAGGTACCAGTTTGACAGAGCTCCTAACCACATTACTAATTAATGAATTCCACTAATATCACTTACATTTGGGGCATACTTAACCGAGGACTTTCCTGGATGTATCTGGTCATCAGGTCCAGCCAGATTCCATAAAAAAAGTCCATAGTGTGAGTATACCCTTATTTGCAACAACAGCTACGTAGCACAAGTGTCATGGTTGCCAAACTATTTGATAAGGTTCTAATACCAGATTTGTCGTGGCGTTCGAGGTTATGGGTTGAGTTCCAGCCTTCCCAGCCTATTCTGCTCTACGCGGGGAGCAGTACCCCGGCTCCTAACACCTGGCATGAGCTGGAAAGCCCAACCAACTTCCACAACCAGCCAGGAGGCCCAAGCCAAATATCTCAGCAGGTGAACCCAACGCGCATCACAGGGGGCCATGGGGGATCGAATGGACGATGTGGGGAATCAAAACCCACGACCTCCTGAATACCACTTAACGTGCTCAACCAACTGAGTTAGCCTGCGTGGCCCGACCTCCCTTTTTTTTGTTTGAAAAAACATCATCAATTATGTACTGCCCCTTCATTCTGAGAATGGTAAAATAATCCCTGAAAGTGGGCCTACTTGCATCTCCTTGGAAAGACATGTCGCCCGTCAATTATCGATGCAACAACAGTTTGATGTTTCTATGTTGTCACCACCTCTACTACTTCCCTACTTACTCTACATGTTCTCTCTCTCTCTCTCTCTCTCTCTCTCTCTCTCTCTCTCTCTCTCTCTCTCTCTCTCTCTCTCTCTCTGCTTGTCCTTCTTCCCTACGATGCTGCAGAATCTGGCCAGATCACTTGTGCTCTCCAGCTACCACCAGGTAAGCCCCTCTTCTCGTTGCTGCCCTCTCTTCCCTTCCTCCTCCCAATCCCCCTGCACACCCCCCTTGCATCCAGTGCAGCTATGGCTGCCGCCGGTAGAGCCGCTGCACTGTGTCTCTCTCTCTGCTTGTCCTTCTTCCCTACGATGCTGCAGAGTCCGGCCAGATCACTTGTGCTCTCCAGCTACCACCAGGTAAGCCCCTCTTCTCGTTGCTGCCCTCTCTTCCCTTCCTCCTCCCAGTCCCCCTGCACCCCCCCCTTGCATCCAGTGCAGCTATGGCTGCCGCCGGTAGAGCCGCTGCACTGTGGCGACTCTTCCCTTCCCTGGTCGTAAACTCAGCGGGTACTACCCGCTTTGCACTGAATTTAGCGCTGGGCAGCCTGCAGCCACTGAGGTGCCGAATGTGCCTTTGACCTGGCCTCTGTTGGTTTTGTTTGCTGGAGGAGACCATGGCAACTTCCAGCAGGCTGGGCCTGCGCGCTGAAGTTTCCGCACACCGCCGTCAAGGTTCCACTGGGCCTGGGCCTTCTTCACTTAGGGCCCGGCCGTTATCTATGCTCCTGGCCTTTACTTAAGGCCAGTGAACTATTATGCAGGTCCCTACTGGGTGCCGCCGAGGCCTGATGCATCGCACATATGCACAAATGTTATGCATGTGCCTGTCACTACCAGCCCTCACCCCCACACTGGTTTGGTAGCCCAGCGGCGGGTGATATCAAGTATGGGAAAGATCAGGCTCAGAGGTACTGGTGGTTTAAAAGGAAAAGGGGGCATGAACAGGATGACAAGGTCATAGGAAAGAGAGGATTTAGAAATTAAAATGGTTCCACATTCTTGGATCCGTACTCTTGGCCATCGATGTAGGTAATCCACACTTGGAAATGCTTAGTCCAGGTAAGTGGGATGTTGGACCAGGACTGCTTTCGCTGTGTGTGTGTGTGTGTGTGTGTGTGTGTGTGTGTGTGTGTGTGTTGTGTGTACGTGTGTGTGTGTGTGTGTGTGTACGTGAGAGTGTGTGTGTGTACGTGAGAGAGAGTGTGTGTGTGCGTGTGGCCCTATTCGCTCCACAAATCGTTCGGTCTAACCATCTCCTCACGCTCTACCACTGTCCATGTGCCATGTCAGTGGAGTGCGTCTCGTCTATCTCCTTGGGAATGGTCAGATGAGGATTGTCCTCCATGTACGTGAGTGTGTGTGAGTGCGTGTGAGTGTGTGCGAGTGTGTGTGTGTGTGTGTGTGTGTGTGTGTGTGTGTGTGTGTGTGTGTGTGTGTGTGTGTGTGTGCTTCAGATATTGGAAAGTGATCAGTAGGTGAAAAAGGAATTGGATTGAGGGACAAAATAGAAGGGGCCTTCCTAGGAAGGTAGAAACGGAGAGAGGAGGAGAAAGAGGGAGCTGGGGGATCGCGCCGGTAGCGCTGACCGCCGCAAGGCGCCACTGCGGGGCACTAGCTCGGCCCGCTGGACCGCGTCGGGCCGATTGCTCGTGAGGAACAAGCGTCGGCTGGGAACGTGGTACCACGCCATCGCCGAGGCGTGACGTGTGCGCAGGAAGAGGTGTCATCGCTAGACGCCATCACCAAGTGAGGCGCCACGTGGCGTTGGACGCGAGACGGTTGGCTCCAGAAAAGGCGGATTACAGCTGGGTGGGCTTGGAAGAGGAGCGCATATTACACACGTGTGCACGAGATTCACATGCGGACTTGCGCGTGAAGGCAAGCTACGAGGACGACAGCACCAAGGACACATTAAAAGACTTCAGAGGGAGAACGACAACGACGCGGCGACAAGTACTGTACTCGGAGAGACGATAACGACGGGAGACTATCAGGGGCAAGGGAGGCCGCCGAGAAATCAGGAAGGAGGAGGATAGTCAGGGAAGGCACTCAGGCGAGGGACGGGGAGAGAAGGTAAAAAGATAGAGGCGAGAAGAAGGTGAGGAGATAAGAGCGGTGGAAAGCATGTGTGGCGTGGGGTGGGTGGGAGAGCAGGTGTGGTGTGGAGTAGAGGACAGGGGGGTTGTCAGAACAACGTCGAAAAATCAGGTAAGAGGAGGGGTAAGGGGGAGGAGGAGGATATTTGGGGAAAGGTAACGGAAAGTGGAGGCGAGGGATGGGAGGAGATAGTACACTGGAAAGATAGAGGTGAGGAGAAGGCGAGGTGGCAAGAGAGGTGGGAGAGCAGGGTGGCACCGGGTAAAGGAAAGGAGAAGGCTGCGACAGCCCGGGACGACACATTTCGGAATGGGTTGTAGGAACGTGTCGAGACAACGTTAAAATTCAGGTAAGAGGAAGGGTATTGGGGAAGGTAATGGGTGGAAAGGGCAGAAAGAAATTCAGATCGAGGGTAGGGCGAAAGGGAGCGCGGAAAGGGGATTAACAAAAGAAGGGTGATCGACAGTGAGATACAGAGGCAAACATAGGGGCAGAGAGCGGAGATCGCACCACGAGGAAGGAGAGAGAAAATAGACAGAGAGAGGTGGAGGTTCAGGTCCCTGGCAGAATCCAACCAGCCCCCGGAATTGCTAGACTTTTGACTAAAGTAACAATTTGAAGAACAAATAGCGGAATTACTGATAAACCTGGGCATTTAAAGGGGGAAGGAGAGCAAGTAAAATCCAAAAATCCAGAACATATAAACCAAAAACAAAAAACGTAAAACAAAAAAAAACAAAAAACAACACACCAAAAAACAACGAAAACAACAAAATGAGGATGACCAATAGGTTGCAGCGTGCACATAAACGATTGAATTCGACGCTGTTCTACAGCGGAGCTATGAGACAACTGGC